GCGCGAAATTCACAAAACAAACAAACATCTAATAAAAGCAAAAGACCGCCCTCTGACGTATTATTCATCCGATTCATTTGCACATAATTATTACCAGAAATAATGTTTCTATTTTCAGACAAACCCCCGTTATTTCATATTATAATTTCATCTTAGATAAAAAATGAGAGAGAAATACATTACCTCAAGTCTTCCCGTTGAAAGCGGACTTTTTCAAAGTTGACGTTAATTCTTTCATTGTATCTCCCCATAAAGTGGTAGGCACACTTGGCATTCTGGGGGTAAGTGCTGGGGTAAAGAGGTGAGTAAAAGTGTCCTTTATTGTAGGACTTGTTACCCCTGTAGAACTGGTAGTCACATTTGGTACCGTACAAAGGATCTCCGTCCGTGAGGAACAAACCTGGAATCGAGACCGAAACGGACACTAAATTATATGAATAAACTTAGAATTCAAACCGAAACAGGTTCTAAGTGTTATGAACAAACTTAAAATTGTATCCGAAACGGACACTAAGAAGTCTATGAACAAATTTAGAATTGGAACCGAAACGGACCCTAAGTTACATGAACAAGCTTAGAATTAAAACCGAAACAGGTTCTAAGTGTTATGAACAAACTTAAAATTGAATCCGAAACGGACACTAAAAAGTCTATGAACAAATTTAGAAATGGAACCGAAACGGACACTAAGTTACATGAACAAGCTTAGAATGGTTAAATTAACTGGTTATTTTACCAGTTATAGTTAGATAAACTGGTTATCTTACCAGTTATGGTTAGATAAACTGGTTATTTTTAACATTTATGTTTAAATAAACTGGTTATTTTACTAGTTATAGTTAGATAAACTGGTTATCTTACCAGATATGGTTAGATAAACTGGTTATTTTACTAGTTATAGTTAGATTAACTGGTTATTTTACCTGTTGTAGTTAGATATACTGCTTGTTTTTACCAGTTATGGTTAGATAAACTGGTTATTCTTCCAGTTAGCTTTATATAAGATTATTTCAACCATCACTTCTGGTTTGACTGTCGACTCCTGTTTGGTTTACTTAAGGAAAGGGTTTAAGTTGACAAGGAAAGTCTAGAAACGAGTAATGTTCTATACACGTTGTTTCTTAACGAAGTTCTCATCTTTTAAAGAAAAGATTCATTTTAACACTTTCAGTTAACAGTTAACAGAATTGTCAGTTTTAGCTGCTGTTTGTACCATTATCTTAAGGGACCAATAATAAGATACATTACATGTATAATAACGGTTTTTATACAGCATTAGAGAATTTTGGAGGGAAGTGGGGGTAGTTGTCGAAAGAACGATACCTGAATGTGTTTAGAAATCTTAAGTGTGACATCACCAGCCACCTACGTTTTTTTAGAAAGCGATACGTCCCTCTGAATCCAGTGTTGTTTCCTTGTTTCCAGTCACTGTGGAATTCAATGATAAGAGCTTGGCTGGAGGAGTAGTACGTCTGGACAATGTCCGTTACCTTACCGCACAGAATCACGTTTTCTGGTGTTCTGTGGTCCACAGCTGCCTCTTCTAAGTGAAGAAACAAGCTCACGTAGTCTCCCAGGCGACACCTGGAGGTGAAGTCAAAGCCACATTTTACCAGTCACACACTTCGACAAGTCCAAATGAATACTCTTCAAAAACAAACAAACAATATTTTTACATTTAACTCATTAGAACCTTTGTTACATCAAAATTATTGTTTAGAAAAATGTTATTAAACCAAACAAACAATATTTTTACATTTCACTCATTAGAACCTTTGTTAAATTTCAGGTAATGAAAACAAAAAAAAAAAACGTAGTAAAGATTCCAGATCGTTTCTTCTGGCAAGTAGCAGCGTTTACGAGCTATGCTTTTTAACCAATTTTTAGACTTAGAGGTTTCTACTAACTTCGTATAGCCTTGTTCGGAAATTAAAATACATATATTAGTCTCTATTAACTCCACTTGCAGTTTGCATTGACGTATTTGTTAATATAAAAGCCTTACTATTACCTCGCCCCCTCTCCCCGGTGGTTAAGCTGTAAGTGTGGGGTCTTATAACCCTAAAATTTCAGTTTCGATAACCGTGGTTGGCAGAGCTCAACAAAAACAAATTATTCACTAATTTTTAAACGTTCACTACCCATGAGATCCACGTACTGCATCACATTGACTAAATCCAACACGTACATACACAGTGGCTCAGCGACGAATTTGAAGGCTTACAACGCTAAAAATAAACTAACAAATAAGCGTTAGAATTTTACACAATAGGTTATATGTGCTATGCCCATCACCGGTATCGAAACTAGCTTTTTAGAGTTATAAGCTTTCGGGCTTACTGCCGAGTCACTAGCGGGCATCTGAAATATGCGAACAGGTCGTTTTGTATAGTTTTAGAGAGGGTGATTTACGTAAATAAAAGGTCTATGTTGAGAGACCTGTTCATAAATTTTGCTTTTTTTTTATTGATTCAGCGACTCATTGGCTTGAACTTCAGGTTAGAAGTTCCATAGAAAGTTTTCCTAACTAAACGTGAACTTAAGAACAGTGTCTAAAAGATGTGTTTGTCACCACAATCTCTGCCTTAAGTAACCGTAACTATGACAACTTCCTCTTCATTGCCTTAAGTAACCGTAACTATGACAACTTCCTCTTCATTGACAATACTTCTAGGTATCTGCTGCCTAATGTCGTTCTGGATACCAGAATCTCTTCCTGATTTGGTAGTGGATAATTCAGTCTGAACCATTTTAAACTTCCCCCCAGAACCTCCCTTTAGAATTTAGTTTTACGATGGCCGATTCACGTTCAAGCTCCTGCATCCTCCCAGATATTCGTGTTTCGAATACTGGTGCCACGAAGAAAAAGCTCCCCGCACTTTTCGGCCGTGGATGTCCAATTGTTGAAATTCCGCTGTTTGTTCAGCGGCGGATGGTGTTGACTAGCTGCTTTTCTTCTAGTCAATCACTTCAAAAATTAGGGACGGCCATGCAGTGAAGCCATTGTGTAGCTTTGTGCAAATATTCTAAAAAACATATAAACGAATAATCTTGGATATAAAGAGCAGCACTTTGATGAAATAACTAAAACTATGTTGTCGTAATGTCTCAAACTGAAGTATCTGTGTCGTCTTATATATATATATGTGTGTTATTTAAATGAAACTTTTTTTTAAATTCGCCTTAGGGTTTGATTTCTTTATTACAAAAAATACCGGCACTGTTGTATGTGTTCTTTCAGACTTTGAGCCTAAAGATTTAATTATAAACTGCGCTTTAAACATCAAACACAAAACTATTTAAGTATAAAAAAAAATGAGGAGACAAGTAAACTCTGCTTATGACTCTTGTATCTTCTTCGTATCTAATTCCAGTCTTATGAATATTATTTATCTTACACGTTTAACAAACGATGTTTTTTTTATTGTTTTCTGTTAAACGCCAGGGGTATCGAAACCTGATTTTTAGCGTCGTAAAACTGCAGACATTTGACCTACTGGAGGATTCAGCAAGCGAGATTACGAAGACCTTAAGCTTTTTAAATGTTAGCTTGACTCGCGATTATTTTGTTGTAAATCTCAGCTGTGCTGTGCTTATCACACGTATCGGATCCGATTTATAGCAGTGTGAGCTCTCAGACTTAGTTTTAAACTAAAACTACACAAGTGCTTTGAAATTTTGATTAACATCCTCTAGTATTAGAAAGTACCGCTACATTCTAAGTTTTTAAAATAAGTTAGAAAAAAATCTTATTGTTGTTCATAAACACCTCAGCAACAGCCTTGTTTCTCGATTGTACAATACACAAAAACTTGTTCAGACTTGTTTCTCGATTGTACAATACACAAAAACTTGTTCAGACTTGTTTCTCGATTGCACAATACACAAAAAACTTGTTCGGACTTGTTTCTCGATTGTACAATACACAAAAAACTTGTTCAGACTTGTTTCTCGATTGTACAATATACAAAAACTTGTTCAGACTTGTTTCTCGATTGTACAATACACAAAAACATGTTCAGACTTGTTTCTCGATTGTACAATACAGTTTATAGGGATGTAGATTGGAGTACAAAAACATGTTTAGACTTCTTATACAAAGTCTTGTTTATATCTGTTGCCATGCTTACTCTAGCTCGGACTTCTGGACGTCGAACTCGTCAAAGGTGACCTCCACGATCTCACCTTCTGGAGCTTGGAAGGTGTACAGTACGCAGTTTATGCTGTCCTCGTACGGTATTGGCCAGTTTGGTGACGTAAACACACCGTAGTCTTTTCCGAACGTACTGTCGTAGAAGACACATTGGCAGCCTGTAAATAAAAACAAGATTTTTATAAACTATTAGTAAATGATACACAGTTTGGTGACGTCATCAATTTTTATTAGTCGAATGTTCGACGTTTCCGGTACACAATCAAACTTCATGAGGGAAGCTTGACTCTATAGCTTCACGAGGGAAACTTAACTCTATAGCTTCATGAGGGAAGCTTGATTCTCTAGCTTCAGGGGGAAGCTTGACTCTATAGCTTCACGAGGGAAGCTTGACTCTATAGCTTCATGAGGGAAGCTTGACTCTATAGCTTCACGAGGGAAGCTTGACTCTATAGCTTCATGAGGGAAGCTTGATTCTATAGCTTCATGAGGGAAGCTTGACTCTATAGCTTCACGAGGGAAGCTTGACTCTATAGCTTCATGAGGGAAGCTTGATTCTCTAGCTTCATGAGGGAAGCTTGACTCTATAGCTTCACGAGGGAAGCTTGACTCTATAGCTTCACGAGGGAAGCTTGACTCTATAGCTTCATGA